AATGGTCAGAAGGTTTGGGATTTACCAATATTCACACAGTTGGTGTTTCCCCATTTGCTTTCACAGAGAACCTGGCTTGTCCTACCACATCTCACAATTCCTCAATTCCCACCACTCCTCCCCAAGGGCTCTTGTGTTCTCCCACTGAACACACGAAGCTCTTTGGGGCAGGGACAGGATTTGTGTCCCACACAAGCACTGGCTGTGATGTTGAAATCCAGTTTTTAGATCCAACAGATGTTAGTTATGGAAGGGGAAAAGCATCAAACCAATACACCAGGGGAAAAGAGGGGAAAATATCCCACCCCCTGAAGGCAGGAGAGATCAGATCACCAGTTATCTGATCTCTGTTAACAAGCCCTTATTGGGTAGATAAGCACTTCACAAAATAAGAACTTCTATTTCAAATCAAAGATCTTGTGATTCAGAATTTCAGTCACTTTTAAACTTAAGAAAAGCCTTAAAACAATTTAATAGCAAAGAGCTACCGAAGGCCCTGCATTAGTCTATGAAAACCCAACAAATTAGTCCTGTAAAACCCTCCAAGTGGTGGCCTAATAAATTATTATCCCTTAACAAGCATTTTTTTCCCTGAAAACTGTTTTAGTGAAGCATTTGTATAACATAAAATGAATGCTGAGCTATCCTGAGCCATTAATTTCTACATTTCTGAGACAATCTGAGTTTGGGAACAACTGGACAGACTGCACTGGCCAGCCTGGTCCTACCACAGCAATCACCACTCCCAACCACTGCTGAACCCTTCTCCTGCCCTCCCCCTGATCTGCCAGGGGTTTAGTAACGAGAATAATAAAAATTAATAAAGAGTAATGAGTTTAATAAACAAGAAGCTGCTCAGTTCAGTAGGTCACATTCAGGGGAAATCTTTATCCACCGTCCAGCCTTCATCTCCCTTGCCCTCCCTCCACCCCTGGAGTTCTGTGCCAGTTGTACCCACACTGCCCAGGAGCTCAGCTCTGCTCCTCCAAACCCAGGGGGTTGGGCTCTGCTCCTTCTCCTTCACTGCTTCATCCTCCTGCCACACAAACCCTCTCCCCCAGTCGCTGTCCTTCCCAAAAATAGCTGGGAATGCACTTGCAGTGCTCCGTGGGGACACAGAGGGGCTGGGGCAGGGAGGAGGATTCAGGGAGGGAAACTCTTTCCTCCCCCATTAATTCACTCAACAGGCAGAGGGACAATAATTATTTTAGATATGATTTATATTTTGGAACTTGGCTGCATCTCTGTTTGCCCAAAGCTGCCCTGAGGATTTAATTGGACCGAGCTGGCTTGTTACAGCCCAATTACTTATGCTTGAACTGATATACTCTGCACTGATTTATTCAGAGGGCAAACTCAGGAAAAATGAGCAACAAAAACATTATTAATTTAAACTCATTAAATCAAATTGCAATCTCAAGATTTGGTTGTTTTTTTTCCTTTTGTTTTAAACAAATATGTCACTGGATTATTTCATTAGGCTACAACTTGCTGTGTCTGACCAGAAGCTACAAATGTACAAACCAATGAATAATTTTAAATAATTATTATATTAATAGTATTAATTTAAATAATACATTTAAATAAATAATAGAGGAAAGCAGCCAGTGTATCAAGGCATCAGCCTTGTTTCTCCTCCAAGAATGCTGTGGAAAACATCTGAGCTGTTTACACCCCATAAGCAAATTTTTTTCCACATGCCTATAGAAAAGTGTTGGCTAAACAGTGAATATCAACCTAAAATAAAGAGAAAAAAAATAGAAGTTTTTGCTGTTTGGTAACCACACCCCATATCTGTGAGGGCTCAGTCACAGGAGCTGAGTGTTGTTCAGCACTATCCAGGTCCCTTCTCCAGGCTTTTCCCTAACAATTTAACTTTTCAATGGGTTTATTGACACATGGGAAGACAAGAGGCTGCAACAATCAAGCAGTTGCAATATGCTTTAAGCTCTCCAAGTAGGAATAAACAAAAATAGAACCCCAAACTGGAATTCTTAGAACCCTGAATTACGTAAAGGGAAATAAATCAGCTGTGCAGCCACTGGAGAGAGAGAATGTCCCTGGAATAGCAAAGCTGGAGAGATGATTTTTCTTTACAGGAAGTGGCAGCACTTTGAATTATTTCAGGCCACTGAGACTCCTCTTCTGATGAAGCCCAGAAAAACAACTGTGCCCTGATGTCAGCGTGGGACACCAGAACAGCCTCTGGAGGGGGAGCTTCCATCCCACACTGGAATTCCAGGACGTCCCACAATCACCACGGGACATCCCACAATCACCACGTGCTTCAGGAGCATCAGATGAAGTGACCTGGGGGACAAAAACCTGCAGCAGCTCTTTGAGCTCATTTTACAGCACCTGACTGGAGCCAGCTCTGGGATATTTCTTGTAGACTTTCAGGAAAAGACCAGAGAATACCCCAAGTGCAGCTCCGTGGTCAAAGCAACCAGGAGATGTGAGGGATGAAAGGGCTCCCAAAGGGCTCCCAAAGGGCTCCCAAAGGGCTCCCAAAGGGCTCCCAAAGGGCTCCCAAAGGGCTCCCTCAGTGGCAGGAGCCAGGAACTGTCTGAGAACCACTGCACCCTCGAAGATGAGCTGTTTGCTGAGCTCTGGCAGGGGCAGGGACTGTGCAGCCCACCAGGATGTCAGACTGCAAAGACCACCAGCATTCTCAAGGATTCACCTGAGTGGGTATTATTTCCATGGCTGGAATTATTTCCCATGGCTTGAATTACTCACCATCAGTTCACAGTCAGGGACCTCTGCTGAAGGAAAACACCCCTCTGCACTGCAAAACTTGTTCTTGACTTTACCTGAAGTTCTTAAATACTTCATTTCTGGCTTGCAGGTACAAGTTAGAGCCTAATCTAATTCACAGACCAAATCTGACTCACACAGATGTTCTGCCACCTCCTCCTGCAGTAAGATCCTTGAGCCCATGGTGGCAGTTGTTATCTAACTGCAGTGTATCAGCCAGGGGCAGGTTTTTAAAGCCTGATATCCTGCATGTTTCTGTTCCCTGCCCTTGGGTTTTGCCCTCCTGAACTTACTTCCAAGAGCAGCAGTGTCTCCTGCTCTGTCCATTCTCTCCCAGCACTTGCACCTTTACTCTACAAAAAACAGGAGAAAAAAAAAAAAGAAGTGAAATACAGGAGTTTTTGTACAAAACCTTTTAGAAGAAAACACTGAGGAGAAAAAGAGAAAAGAGGATTTTCCTAAATGATAAACCCTTCTCTGAGTGCTGAAGGCAGTGGGCTGTGTATGGTGTGTGCTGGTCCAAAATAAGTTCATCTATTCAGAAAGTTCATCAGTAAAAAATAATTTCATTTATCTGTAAGTTCATCAGTAAAGAAATGATAAATCTTTACAAGTGAAATGAGTTGTGTGAGAAGGAAAAGTAATTACAGCAAGACCATTTGCACTCCAGCAATCACTTGCTCCTAGAGTTGCTGCTCCCATATCTATACCTCATAAACTGCTGGGATTAGCTTAAAAAAAAAAGAAATCACAAAATTCATGGTGAAACTTCCCCTCCTGTGACACCCTGGCCTGTCAAAAAAGGACAGAAGCAGCTTGTCACCTGCCCCTAAAGAACATCACTGGGTGGTTCTGTGCCAGAGCACAGCAAAGGAAATGGGTATTTAGGGGAATAAATATTATCTCGAGATGCATTTCAGACACATCATTAACCCAAACAGAACATTCATCATCACCCAGCAGCTGATCAGCTCCACAACAGGCTGATTTAAGAGCCAAAAACCCAACAGTCACACAGCAACCAAACAGGGAAATCAGTATCTGCCAAGAAATCTGCTCCAGCTCACTGGTACGGATCCTGTAAAGAGTCCAGAACCAGGAAGGGATTTATGGATTTGGAGAATATTTATACTCCCCATAACAAGTGAAAAATCAGTCTGTGAAATGTGAGATGAAATGAGGCTTTATAAAAAATACTTATCTCTAGAAGTAGTGCTTTGGGTTTCTGGGGTTTTGAAACCATTCTCTGAAGGAATAAATAATGTGCAAATAGTATAAATAATAGTGTATAAATAGTTATTTCTTAGGTTTAAATAGTGACCTCTTAGGTCAACAGGCTAATTACACAGAATTAAGCCTGATGTGAGCCCAAAAACTCTGGAGACTCCCCACCTCCAAAGGTTGTGTTATGGTTACATGGGATTCCTGCAGCACCTCCAGGCACACACAGGTATTGGGAGCAGGAGGGAGGCAGGAGGTTATAGAATCATCACAGCACTGCAATGAAGCCTCAAAGTTTTAATTATCCTGTGCAACATGTTGCAGTGACAGTGACAGAATGTCCCCTGCAACGATTTGGGGACACTTTTTGTTCTCTCAGGCTGGAAAACCCTGCTCAGACCTGGAAAACAGGATAGCTAAAGATCCTGGTGGAGGATCTCAGCTCCTGGTCGGAATTATTGGATGGTTTGATGATTCTGAACCACTCAGGTGGAATATGCAGGAACACAGTGAGTTTGGGGTCTGAAGGCTGACAGTGGAATGGGAATTGATACGTGTCTTTATTCCTACAAAATCAGAATTCCAAGACAATCACTCATCTCAGTGTCCTGCACCAGGGAAGAAATCTAAACTGGGGGTGTAAGAGTAACAAAAGTCACCTCAATGTCACCAAGCTGGGCACACTTGAGCAGGAAAGCTCAACAGAAGGTTGAGGGGAAATAGGGGAAAAAAATCCCAAGACTTGCCTTGGCTAAAGTCTTCTTTGAGTAAATGTCTGTGCGAAGGCCAAAGTTCTGCAGGTCAGTTGGCTTCTCCTTGTTCTTCTCTGGAAAACTCAACATCTGCTGAGCAGCTGGAACCTGGGAACAAACATCACAAGGGAAAGGTGACAGGGGCAAGAACTGCAAGGTTCTCAAGGTCTTCAGACCAGTGTCCACCAAAACATGGACTGCACAGAGAAGTTGAACCCAGGTCTGTGGAGGTGACTGTAGAACAAATCTGAGCAATGGGGGCAAGTGTTCCATGTAAAATGACCTGAAATGCTCAACCCAGCTGGACAAAAGAGGGAACATTTCACCCAGCTGGGCACAGCCAACTGTGCTGCTGTGCTCCACGGCCCTGGACAGAGCCCCAGCCAGCCCCGGGACTCACCTGTGGGGTGCGGATGTGCAGGGGCATCAGCCCCGAGGGGGTGTCGGCCAGCACGTTGAAGTGAGGGGTGGGGGGCGGCCCCATGGCCATGGGGCGGCTCTCGGGGTCCACCTGGTAGTTAATGAGGCCCCACTGCTCCAGGAAAGCGTGGACCCTGCCAGAGAGAGGGGCAAATCAAAGCTTCCCAACTGAAGCCCTGCCCAAGGCCCCGAGGCCCCCGCCCCGCGGTCCCGCTGTCACCTCATGACGGCACACACGTCCCCCGTGAGGTTCCTCCTGCAGGCCGTGCTGGTCAGGTACTCCTGAGGGTTCAGCCGGTACGTGTCGATCATGAAGTTCCTGTAGGCCAGGTATCTGCAACACAGGGGGCACAGTCAGGGAATTATGGCCAGGTATCTGCAACACAGGGGGCACAGTCAGGGATTCAGGGCCAGGGTCACACATTCATGGCCAGGTCTCTGCCACACCAGGGTCACACATTCCTGGATTCATGGTCAGGCATCTGCAACGCAAGGGGCACACACTCATGGAATCAGGGCCTGGGTCACACATCAGGGCCAGGTCTCTGCCACACAAGGGGCACACATTCATGGATTCATGGCCAGGTCTCTGCCACACAAGGGGCACACAAGGGTCACACAGTCATGGATTTATGCCCAGGGTCACACATCAGGGCCAGGTCTCTGCCACACAAGGGGCACACGGCTCATGGCCACTGAGGGCTCACAGCATCCAGACTCTATTTTAGGATTCACCTCCTCCAAACACCCGTGTCACTGACAAGGAAACACCAACAGGCTGTTTTTATTGGGGAACTTTAGGAATCAGCATCCAAAGCAACAGGTTAAGTGGATTTATTTTTATATGCTGAGTGTGACCCATCTCTTCCAGACTGTTTCACTCTGCATTTTCCCTGTGGTTGGATGGAAACACGCTCCAATTGCAGTCACACAAATATCTGTGTTAGGTTGGGCATCAACCAAATATTCACACAACAGTAGTAGCTGCAGAAAAAACTAGTGGGGTCTGGTCTTCCCATGGAAATAGGGTAAACAATCCTTGTCCATCCCTGTGTGAGGCTGGAAGGAAAAAGGCTGCACAGAGAAGCAGCAGCAGCAGCACAGCAGCTGGAACACTGCTGTGGCTACACAGGGAGGTTTTAATGGATGAAGAGAGGAGGGAGGAAAGGCTGGAGAACAGCAATATGGGGAAGAGCAGATCTTTGAAAAGCAGAGCATAAGAGCCCAGAGCCAGCACAGCTGGGAACAGCTGGAGCAGAAACAATCCCTGTGAGATTCCCACATTTCAGCACATAACAGCCCAAGGTTTTGGGGTTCAGCCCGTTCCCTGCACTGCGGCTTCAGAGGCTCCTCAGGAAGTTTCTGCAATATCCTGATGCTTCCTAATAAAAATTGTCCAGAAAATAACCTCCCAGAAAATTACTGACAGCCCTGTTCTTTAGAGGGAAAAACCCCAACCTGCCAAATTCAAGTTGGAATCATCCAGGTTGGACGGGGCTTGGAGCAACCTGGTCTGCTGGAAGGTGTCTCTGCCCACAGCAGGAGGGGAGGAATTAGGGGGTCTTTTAAGTCCCTTCCCACCCAAGCCATCCTGGGATTCTGTGAAGTGAGCATCCTGTGAAAAGCTGTGTTTAAAACAGTGTATTGTTAGCAGATCCCTCCCTTTGGAAAATTCCAGAGGGAATGTCTCACATGCAGTGTGTGCAAAGCAGCTGGTAACCAAAAATATAAATAAATCATCCAGGCAAAGCATAAGGAGACAGATGCTGCAAGCACAGATCCCTGCCAAAATCCCACATCTCCCTCCTGACCAAATTCCATAGGAAGCTGGCCAGGAGCAACTCTGGGGTAGGTGTTGGGCTCCTTGGGGATGTTTGGGAGCTGGAGATGAAGGGGAGCTCTTCCCCAGAGGAATACTGAGGCACATCTCTGAATGCTCCAGGGCAGAACTGGGTTCCCACCTGCCCAGGAACAGGTCTTGGCTGCAGAAATTAATATTTATTCGCAAAGGTCACATCAAGAGGTGCAGAGAGAAGCCCAAGACAGAAGCATCCCAAGGTTTTATCCTGAAGGGAGACGGTTTTCAACCACAACAGGACCCATCAGCTAAAACCTGTCAACAGCAAGAAGGGAAGTCAAGTGGGATTTAGTTACAAAGCCTGCTCAGACAGGAGCCACCCCCAGGCACTGCTGTCACAACAGTGAACCTGGGTGAGCTCCTCAAACAGGGTGCTCTGGCCTCAACACTCAGCTGGAGGCAAATCATCTCCACTCACAGGGATGGCACTCCTTGATTTAAACAGGAAACACAAAGCCAAGCCCACGTGCTGCTCCTACAACCCCTAAATGGGACCAAAATAGATCTCCAGGACAACAGGAGGACTGGGGGGAGCCCCTGACCCGCTCCACTCACAGGCAGTAACCAGCAGCTGCTCAGGGATGAGAATCAGGAGACCTGATGTTTTGATGCCAAGTGGGAAAGGAATCCTGGGACCAGAGGTGACAACCCCATCAGTGGGAAACAGAGAGATCAGCATTCCTTCAGCTGCCTCAGACCCAGAGTGCTGGAAACCCCCAAACAACCATCTGCTGAACAGTAAAACTGGGGGAGCAGCGTCACTGTCAAATACATTTTGGAACAAATACGTTTTGGAATGGCAGGGGGCTGGAAACAGATGATCCTGAAGGTCCCTCCCAACCCAAACCACTCTGGAATTCCATGGTGCAGCTGTAGTTACCTCTGGAACTCAGACATGTAGAGAAGTTGTGAGGAAAGACTATAGACTGAAAATTCCAGGGCTCCAGGGACCTCAGGAGGTCTGTAATCCAACCTCCCACTCAAACCACGGACTCTGGGTTTTCCAGGGCTTTGTCCTGGAAACACTCCAAGGAGGATCAATCCCAACCTCCCAGGGCCCTATCCCAGTGCTTCATCTTCTTCAGGGTTTAAAGTTTCCCTTTTTTCAAAATAGAACTTTCTATCTCAATGTCAGACAGAAGCCTCACAACCCAACAGTGACACCTGAGACAGGGAGATTCCAGCACAGGAACAGTCCCTGCAGGAATTCTCCTGTCCAGGCTGGGAGAGCTGGGGGGGTTCACCTGGAGAAGAGAAGGCTCCAGGGAGAGCTGAGAGCCCCTGGCAGGGCCTGAAGGGGCTCCAGGAGAG